TCCTGCTGGGTTTAGGCTTTATTTGCTGTTCTTTCTCCAGTTCCTTTAGGTGTAGGGTTAGGTTGTGTATTTGACCTTTCTTGTTTCTTGAGAAAGGCTTGTATTGCTCTATACTTTCCTCTTAGGACCGCCTTTGCTGCATTCCAAAGATTTTGAACAGTTGTGTTTTATCTTCATTTGTTTCCATGAATTTTTAAAATTCTTCTTTATTTTCCTGGTTGACCCATTCATTTTTTAGTAGGATGCTTTTTTTTTTTTTAAGATTTTATTTATTTATTTGACAGAGACAGCGAGAGCAGGAACACAAGCAGCGGGAGTGGGAGAGGGAGAACAGGCCTCCTGCTGAGGAGGGAGCCTGATGTGGGACTTGATCCCAGGACCCCGGGAGCATGACCTGAGCCAAAGACAGACGCCCAACGACTGAGCCACCCAGGTGCCCTAGTAGGATGCTTTTTAGCCTCCACGTACTTGAGTTCTTTCCAACTTTCCTCTTGTGATTGAGTTCTAGTTTCAAAGCATTGTGGTCTGAAAATATGCAGGGAATGATCCCAATCTTTTGGTACCAGTTGAGACCTCATTTGTGACCCAGGATATGTGATCTATTCTGGAAAATGTTCCATGTGCACTCGAGAAGAACGTATTCTCTTGCTTTAGGATGAAATGCTCTGAATGTATCTGTGAAGTCCATCTGGTCCAATGTGTCATTGAAAGCCCTTGTGTCCTTGTTGATCTTCTGCTTAGATGATCTGTCCATTGCAATGAGTGGGGTGTTAAAGTCCCCTACTGTTATTGTATTATTATCAGTGTGTTTAATTTTGTTATTAATTGGTTTATGTAATTGGCTGCTCCCATGTTAGGGTCATAAATATTTACAACTGTTAGATCTTCTTGTTGGATAGACCCTTTAATTATGATATGGTGTCCTTCCTCATCTCTTATTAAAATGTAATCTGTCTCTTATTAAAATCTTATTTGTCTGATATAAGGATTGCCACCCCAGCTTTCTTTTGATGTCCATTAGTATGATAAATGGTTTCCACCTGCTCACTTTCAGTCTGGAGGTGTCTTTAGGTCTAAAATGAGCCTCTTGCAGACAGCATATTGATGGGTCTTGCTTTTTTATCCAGTTTGATACCCTGTGTCTTCTGATTGGGGCATTTAGCCCATTTACATTCAATTATTGAAATATATGAATTTAGTGCCATTGTATTACCTGTAAAATCACTGTTTCTATATGTTGTCTCTGTTCCATTCTGGTCTGTGTTACTTTTGGGTGCTCTCTTTGCTTAAAGCATCCCTTTTACTATTTCTTGCAGGACTGGTTTAGTGATCACAAATTCTTTTAGTTCTGTTTGTCCTGGAAGCTTTTTCTCTCTCCTTCTATTTTGAATGACAGCCTTGTTGGACAAAGTATTCTTGGCTGCATATTTTTCTCATTTATCACTTGAATATATCATACCGGTCCTTTCTGGCCTGCCAGGTCTCTGTGGATGGGTCTGCTGCCAGTCTAATGTTTCTACCCTTGTAGGTTACGGACCTCTTGTCCCGAGCTGCTGTCTGGATTTTCTCTTTGTCTCTGAGATTTGCAAGCTTCACTATTATATGTCGTGGTGTTGACCTATTTTTATTGATTTTTGAGGGGGAATTCCCTGTGCCTCCTGCACTTGAATGTCTGTTTCCTTCCCCAGACTAGGGAAGTTCTCGGCTATAATTTGCTCCAGTATACCTTCTGCCTTTCTCTCTCTTTTCTCTTCTGAGATCCCAGTTATTCTATTGTTTAACTTGAGGGTATCATTTATCTCTCGAATTCTCCCCCTTGTGATCTAGTAGTTGTTTATCTCCCTTTTTCTCCGCTTCTTTTTTGTCCATCATTTTGTCTTCAGTATCACCAATTCTCTCTTCTGCCTCATTTATCCTAGCAGTTAGAGCCTCCCATTTTTTATTGCATCTCATTAATAGCTGTTTTGATTTCAGCTTGATTAGATTTTAGTTATTTCTCCAGAAAGGGATTCTCTAGTGTCTTCCATGCTTTTTTCAAGCCAAACTAGTATCTATATAATTATTCTGAACTCTAGGTCTGACATTTTATTTATGTCCATACTGATTAGGTCCCTGGCAATCAGTGTTCCCTCTTGTTCACTTTTTGGAGGTGAGTTTTTCCATCTTGTCATTCTGTCTAGAGAAGAATAGATGGATGAGAGAACAAGATACTAAAATGACAACAATGACCCCAGAGAAATATACACTAAACAAATCAGAAGAGACCTGAAACTGAAAAAAAAAAGAATCAGACAGGTGAACAGAACAGATCCATACACATTGGTCCTGTGTGTATTTTGTTTCATTTGTTAGAAAACTAGATCCTAAAATTGTAAAGAAAGAAAAACTTATATATGTATAAAAATAAAATTGCATACAATGAAAGGATAGAATGTAAGTGTAAAAATGGAAATTAAAAGACAAAAAAAGTATAAAGTGACAGGTGAACAGGACAGAGCATAAACTAGATTCTGGGTGTATTTTGGTCTCTTTGTTAGAAGAAACTGCATCCCAAAATTGTAAAGAAAGAAAAACTTAGGGCACCTGGGTGGCTCAGTTGGTTAAGCGACTGCCTTTGGCTCAGGTCATGATACTGGAGTCCTGGGATCAAGTCCTACATCAGGTTCCCTGCTCAGCAGGGAGTCTGCTTCTCCCTCTGACCCTACCCCCTCTTTGGCTATCTCTCTCTCTCTCTCAAATAAATAAATAAAATCTTTAAAAATATATATATACAAATATAAAACTAAATACAGTGAAAGGATAGAATGTAACTGTAAAAATGAAAATTTAAAAAGACCTAAAAAAGAGTTGATAAAATAAGAAATTGGGTGTAAAGGGAATGAGAAGAAAAGTTAAAATTGAAAGACTAAGGAATCATGGGGAAAAAAAAAACCCTATGAATTCTTTGTTCTTTATTTCCCTAATGCTGGAATTTTGCATTTCTCTATGATCGTAAACTTGGTCTTAGCTGGATGTTCTTGCAGATCTTCCATGGGAGGGGCCTATTGCGTTGATTTTCAGGTGTCTTTGCCCCAAGTGCAATTGCACTGCCTTTGCCAGGGGCCGGGCTAAGTAATCTGCTCGGGTTTGCTCTCGGGAGCTTTTGTTCCCTGCAAGCTTTCTGTACAGCTTTGGAGGACGAGAGTGAAATGGCGGCCTCCCCATCTCTGCCCTGGAGGAGCCGAGAACTCGGGGCCCCACTCCTCAGTGCGCCCCCAGAGAAAAGCAGTCAGTCATTCCCATCTCCCTGGTCTCCAGCCACACTCCATGCTCACCTGGCCAGTGACCGAGCGTTTCTGTCTCAGGCACACAACCCCGTGTGGAGTCTCCAAACCTAGCCGACTCCTGTGGCGGGCTCCCGAGCTGCTCCTTCTGGGGTAAGAAGGGGAATCTCGGTGAGGTTCTACAACTCCTTGGGCTCCTGCTTCGAGAGCAGTGGCTGGACTATGCCACAGTTTATGGTATATGGCGACCCTGAGCTGAGAGCCTACTCCTGGGCTCACTGTTTGCCGCCAGCTTCCCTGCTGCGATGCTTGGGAACTCTGCTGCACTCGGGCACCCCCTGTCTTCCTGTAACCCTAGGGGTCCTGAGACCACACTGTCCCACCTAGGGTTCTGCCCCTGCTTAGCCACCTGAGTGATGTCCCTCACTGGAGCAGACCTCTAAAAGTTCTGATTTTATTTATTTATTTTTTTAAAGATTTTATTTATTAGAGAGACAGCGAGAGAGGGAACACAAGCAGGGGCAGGGGGAGAGGGAGAAGCAGGCCTCCCGCTGAGCAGGGAGCCCGATGTGGGACTCGATCCCAGGACCCTGGGATCATGACCCGAGCCGAAGGCAGACGCTTAACGACTGAGCCACCCGGGCGCCCCAAAAGTTCTGATTTTATACTCAGCTGCTGTATCACTTTTCAGTAGCTGGCTGATGGAGGCTCCCTCCCCTCATGGTTTATCTTCCCATATATCGCCTGGGATTCACGTCTCTGCACCTCCTACCTTCCAGAAAGTGGTCGCTTTTCTATTTGTGGAGTTGCAGCTATTCTTAGTTCTCCGGTTGAGTTGGCAGGTGTTCAGAATGATTTGATAGCTATCTAGCTGAATTCCTGGGACCAGACGAAACTAAGGTCTCCAACTCTGCCATCTTGGACTCCTCCCATTCTGGCCTTCTCTTACTGATAATTTCCCTCTCCAACAGTGAGAAGCCTGGCTTCTACGATTCATCACCCCTTTACCTATTTGTTCAGTTCCAGTATACATACATAGTAGTTTGAAAATTGATAATATATATACCCATGTTGGAAACTACATGCCCATCTAGGGGAAATGATAGCTGTCAAGTTCAAAAGCAGGCAGAGTTGGGCATATTGATCTACCTCTGAGAACAGATTCTCTTGTGAAAAGCTTTTCCCTCAAGCCTTTTAAGTGATGTGTAATCAGAGCTGCTAATCTAGATATGGATATTGGGGTCGGGGGGAAGGTACCCTGGATTGACACAATGCGGTGCAGCATTTATGAGATGTGGAGTGGGATATAAGAACCTGGCTCATTCTCAGTGGAGCTTTGGACTCCAATATTCCTTGTGGCAAAAGCCATACATACTGTGGAGAAGGCTTTTTTGTAAGATTGTGCTTCGTGTTCTGTACAGTTGAGCCTTCAGCCTTCTAGTGGACTGAAAACTGTGATCATTAAACTTGGTGAGATTAAATCCTACATGATCTCAAGATCCTTAACTATATCTGCAAAGACTGTTTTTCTGTTTTGCTTTTGGTGGAGATAAGTTGTTTGTAGGAGGATATCAACTCAGTGTGTCTTTGGATGGCTTCTACCAACTTCCTTTTGTGGTATTAACCTTCATGACACCCTCTAAAGGGAAACAACCATTACAAGAAACTATTTCAGTACGATTTTGTTTTATGCAAAAATAATTAAATTTTAAAACTTTTTTTTTTTTAAATTTTTAGGATCTGGGGACTCTAATTTACGTCTGGAGGATGCATTGAAAGAAACTTCCTCAGTAAAGTGTGAGTAGTAAATCAAGCTATTAAAAACAAACAATAGTGATTAATATGCACCACCCACTCAGAATACACACTCAAGGAAAACATTTTTTTATCTGTATTGATCAGATAAAATATGGGTGTCATAAATTGCATTATTTAAAAGAAAATCTGAATATTTAACATAATTTGTTTCCTTTGCGAAGAATACCACACAATATGTAATAGCTGATACAGCATTTTCTCCAGCAGTGACCTCAGGAGACTGCCTTTCCCTAGCTCAGGAAAAGATACTTTGAAGTGAATGAGAGATTTGTTTTTCCTTCTAGATTTTTTTTAATATAAACGGCTTTTCTTAAAATGGTGTCTATACGTAATCTCTCAAATGCTAAGCTTTGTCGCCAGTTTCTCTTTACATTTTTTTTTAAAAAATTAAACCATTTTTTTTTAAGTGTGAATGTTAGAAAGTAAAGTCGAGATTTTGTGCAACCCCTCCCCATCCTACAAATGTCACTCCCATCCCGGGAGGGAACTGCTGAAGTCCGTTTGGGATCTGCTGGTCCCAGATGATTTTCTGTGCTGTTACGTACATCTGTACACATAGATTGTTTGGTGTTTTTTTGTTTTACATAACATGTACGGCCCTTTAATTTACTTATGTGTGTATTACTGTACAATTTTTTTTAATTTAATATGTATTGAAGACCTGAATAAATGTATCTGTCTATCTGTGTTAATTTCCCAGGGCTACTATAACAAAGTATTATAAACCGGCAGGCTTAAACCCACAGAAACATAGTCTCTCAGAGTTCTGGAAGCCAGCGGTCCAAAATGAGGGTGTCAGCAGGACCATGCTCCCCCTCTGAAGGCTCGAGCTCAGCTGGGGTGACTTGCAGCTGCCTCACTCCAATCTCTGCCTCCATCTTTACAGAACCTTCTCGTTTGTGTGGTGTCGTCTTCTCTTCTGTCTCTTATAGGGGTTCTTTTTGTTGGATTTAGAACCCACCTGGATAATCCTACATGATCTCATCTCAGTATCCTTAATTACATCTGCAAAGACCGTTTTTCCAAATAGGGTCTTGTTTATGGCATCTGGGGATTAGGACTCCACTATATATTTTGGGGGCCACCATGGAACCTACTACATTATCCATATATCCACATCTTTATACTTCAGATGTAAACTTGGGCTTCATGGAGCTGGCATTCCAGTGGTGTGGCTTTGGCCACGGCCAGTGCTGCCATTTCCTTATTGGCCGATGTGTGATTTGCTTTCATTTTGCATAATTACAAATAGGGCTTCAGTGAACATTCTTGCCCATATCCTTTGTGTATAAGTTCAGTGGAACTACCAGGCTGAAGGGTATACATACTTTATATTTTAATAGAGTCTGCCAAATTGTTTCCAAAATGAATGTACCATTATATATTCACTGAACCCTGTTGAGTTCCTTTGCTCCCAGATCTGCACATCATCAGATTTTATTAATCAAAGGCATTTTACCAATATGATGGACAAAATCTTACTGCTTATTATGCATTTTCCTCATTATAGTGAGATGGAGCATCATTTCATGTATGTATTGGCCATTTGTATTTTCTTCTTTGGTGAATTATCTGTTTCATATCCTTTCCCCGTTTTTCTGCTGGTGTGCTTGTCTTTTTCTTACGGGTTTGAGGACTCTCTGTATATTCTGGATTGAGAAAGGCAGGGGCTCTGGAGCCAGCCTTCCTGCGTCTGAACCCAGCCTCTGCCACTTCCACCTTGGGTGAGTCACCTGACTTCTCTGTGCCTCCGTTTCCTCGTGTGTTACATGAGGTTAATAATAAGCCCTGCCTCCTGGGATTATTGTAAGGATTAGATGAGATGGCCCATATGAAGTGCTCAGCACAGGACTGGTATGAGTTCAGTGCTCAGTAAGTGTCAGCTGTTATTATTGTTCCTTGATTTGACTGTGGCTGAGTCTCTGGTGTAGGAATGCATGCCTACTTAAATTGATCAACACATTAAAAGCAATTCCCGTCAAAATCCCAGCTAGAATTTTTGCTGAAACAGACAGACTGATCCTAAAGTTCATATGGAATTCAGGGGACCCCAAATTGCCAAAACAGTCTTGGAGTACCTGGGTGGCCCAGTCAGTTAAGCATCGAACTCTTGATTTTGGCTCAGGTCATGATCTCAGGGTCATGAGATCAAGCCCCGTGTCAGGCTCCACGCTGGGTGTGGTATGGAGCCTGCTTAAGATTCTCTCCCCCCCCCCCCGCCCCATGCTCATTTGTGCACTCTTTCTCTCTCTATGTATATATGAAAAAAATTGCCAAAACAATCTTGAAAAAAGAAAGAGAACTCAGACTTCCTAATTTTACAACTTACTACAAATCTGCAGTAATCAAGATAGTGTGGCACTAGCATAAAGAGACCTAGAGTTCGATGGAATAGATGTGAGAATCTAGAAATAAACCATTACATCCATGAGCAGTTGACTTTTGACAAAGATGCCAAGACTGTCCAATGGGGAAAGAATAATCTCGTCAATAAATAGTGCTGGGACACAACCGGATATCCAGTTGCAAAAGAATGAAGTTGGACCCCTGCCTCACACCTTATACAAAAATTAACTCAAAATGGATGATAAACCTGAAACCACAAATCTTTTAGAAGTTCATTTGCATGTGTGCTGTGAGTTGAGAGCTTAGGGTGTTCTCAGGTCTTCCCTAAGTATGCTCACTGTCCTATACCTGCAGGTGGCCTTTTGGATTCCCAGGAAAATAAACAGTTTATTAGCAATGACGGTTTTAATGAAATCATTTCACATCTCCCCAAATAAACATGACCAAAAACAAAACAAAACAAAAACAAGCCTAATATAAAGACCCCCAATTAGGAAATTTGTTATTTTCCTGATGGAGGACTTTTTAGTATTTACATCCCTTTCTCTGTTGTGCACCTGCCCATCTGATCTTCATCAGCATCCGTCAACCAGTGTGTCCAGGACCCATAGGAGCACCAGCATGTGATGTCTTTGGTTGAATGACATCCTCCAAAACCTCATCTCACTCTGCTCTCCTTTTTTTCCCCTTTTTCTTTTTTTTTAAGATTTTTTTAAATTTGAGAGAAAGTGAGCACACGACCATGAGCAGGGGGAGGGGCAGAGGGAGAGGGAGAAGCAGGCTCCCCACGGAGCAGGGAGCCCGATGAGGGGCCTGATCCCAGGAACCTGGGATCATGACCTGAGCTGAAGGGGGATGCTTAACTGGCTGAGCCACCCAGGTGCCCACACTACAGTCCATTTAAGAACATTTCCATTACCTCAAAAAGAAACTGTACCCTTTAGCTGTCAATCCCCTGATTATTTCCCTCCCCCAGCCCCTGACAGCCTGTCTCTATGGATTTCCCTCTTCCAGATATTTAATATAAGTGGAGTCGTATATCGTATAATGTGGACTTCATGTTTGGCTTCTTTTACTCAGCATAACGTTCTCAAGGTTCCCCTGCGCTGCTTTCAGAACTTTGCTGCCTTCACCCTCTCCTTCCATCTCCACCCCTTTTCCTTTCATCTCTCCTTTTGCTGTGTGTGTAATCCCCCTCATAGGGGAGCACACTTCTGCTTTTGCCCTATAAAGCTTCTTTTCTTTCTTTTTTAATTATTTGAGAGAGAGAGCGAGAAAGTGTGGAGGAGAGGCAAAGGGAGAGAATCTGAAGCAAACTCTGCAAGAGCGTGGAGCCCAACATGGGGCTCGATCCCAGGACCTTGAGATCATGACCTGAGCTGAAATTAAGAGTTGGCTGCTTAACCGACTGAGCTCCCCAGGCGCCCCTGCCCTGTAAAGCTTCTTATAAGTTTCCCTATTTCCTCGGATTAAGCCCCACCTGGGGGAACCTGGTCAGTTTTGTTTACTGTGGTGTCGTAGGCACATACTGAAAAGAGTCCCTTCATATTGCTGGGCAGCGTTTGCTGGGCGGCAAAGAATCTTTTCTAAGCTTGTCATTTTGAGAAAAACTTCACGGAACTAGGTTTCTTTATTTTAGGAGCTCACTGCTTTCATGAAGTTGGCCTACTGTTCTAATTCCTTGATAAGCAGCTAGACTTTCTTGCTCTCAATTATGGATAATAAATCCCATTTAAAGATTCACGACAGGAAAATCTGTAGTTAATAGCATCTTAATAATCACACAAATCCAAGCTAACGTTCTACGTCCCCGCAGGCTCTGGCTCTAATAGAGCCACTGGTTCCACATGCATGGTAAGGAATGTTCTCTTGAAATGGCACCTGCAGATCTTCAGAGGAACCACACTTCTCCAGAAACTGTGTGTAGTCGGGCAGAACTCCACAAAGCTATAATGATCGAGACTGCGTGGCACTGGCATAGGATACACCTGATTAGGCCAATCAAACAGAATCAGAGTCCAAAAATAAACCCTTATTACATCTCTGGTCAGTTGACTGTTTTTAAAAAAAATCTGGAAAAATAAATATTTTTACATGAGCGGTTTCAGTCCTAGAGATTTTAAAGTAATATTACATGAGTGTCCATTGCTTTTCTGAAAATTGCTCAAATAATGGTTTCAGTAATGTATCACCATAATATACATACACAGAGCCTCCTTCAGAGAGGTGTGCTGTACTTTTTCATTTTACAGCTTAAAGTCATGGAAATTTCTTAGAACTAAAATCCTCTCTAAACTATTGATGAGCTAGATTAAAAAGTATATATATAATGACAGGAGGTTATTACGTGGTCCTCTTCTCATAAAAACCCACCCATTGGTGTGATCTTCACATTTAGGTACGTGTTGGTGTACCAAAAGCCTTCCCAAAGAGTAAGCAAGCATGGTCATTTTAAGGGAAAAACCTGCCATATTCTCAACTTCTATCTATACTTTGGTTAAAACTGAATTATGGAGGAATAAACCTGTAGTTGTGGAGATGATCTCCTTTCCCACCTGTCCCTCTTTGTTTAAAAAAGTATGGAAGTAAAATTCACGTACCCTAAAATTAAGCTGTTTGAAAACATTCACAGT